CCCCGCCTCCTCTGCCTCGGCCCTGGCCCTAGCCTCCGCCGCCTCCGCCTCCCCATCCTCCCCACGCCTTCCCCCCCTTCCCCCGTCCTCTTCCTCCTCCTGGCGTCCCCCGTCCCCTCCTCCTTCCTCCTCCTTCCTCCTTCCCCCTCCTGGCGTCCCCCGTCCATTCCCCCCTCCTTCCTCCTCCTTCCTCCTCCTTCCTCCCTCCTCCTGCTCCCTCCTCCCTCCTTCCCTCCTCTTGCCTCCCCTGCTGGAGGACACCCCCGCCAGACAACCCGCCTTCGCGCGGGGCGACTCGACGCGCGCCGGCCGGTCGAACGCCTGCGTCGCCTCCATCGTGCTCACGTCGCTGTGCCTCTCCGCGCTGCTGGTCGTGGGCGGGCGGCACCTCCTGGACCAGGAGGACCGGCCCGCCCCCCCAGCCACGCCCCTCCCCCTCTCTCTCCTCCTCCTCTCCTCTCCTCCTCCTCCTTCATCCTCCTCCCTCCTCCCTCCCCCTCCTCCCCTCCTCCCTTCCTCCCTCCTCCCTCCTCTTTCCTCCTCCTCCTCCTCCTCCTCCCTCCGCCCTTTCCTCCTCCTCCTCCTCCTCCTCCTCCTCCTCCTCCTCCTCCTCCTCCTCCTCCTCCTAGTCGGCGTTGGAGGCTCAGGCACTTTGAGATCCGACGGAGGGAGGATTTGCTGAAACTCTCTCACACGACGACCGCCCAGCAATCGCACGGGCCAGAGAGGGAGCTGGGGGGGCATGGCAGACGGATGGCGGTTGCAGTGCTCTCGATAAGTGCATTGATGAAACCGGTGTTCTACAATCCGCTGGCGGCGAATACCACGGACAGGCTGGAAGAAATTAGCAGTGCACTACGAGAATGGGATGTGATTGTATTGACACGAACAAATCAGTGGGCTGGTCCAGAGCCGATGAAGAAGACGAGTCATAGATATCATACTGCTGTGCAGTTCGGGGCGAAGAACGGAAAATTGATCAACAAGGGTATCTAACGAGATGATGAAAGACAAGGCCTTCCACACCCGGTACTCACCACCTGCACAATTGCAAGGAAGGATGGCAAGGGTTAGGCTGCGTACGAGAGCATACGATGTCGCAGTCTTCGCGGCGTACTTGCCGCCAGATAGAGGGTACGCAAACAATGGGATGATATAAACATGCAGTGGGTGGAAGAAGCAAAGTGCATAGCTGTGGCTGTGCCGCTCAGTACTGCAAGAAACATAGGCCACGAGAGTTGCGATCGCTGGGTTAAACGCTGCCTGCGGGTCACGCGGATGCCGCAGATGAGCCCCTCCAACCCACGAAATGTACGTTGTTCTCTCCTTCAGCATCAAGCGAAAACAACATTCTGGAATAAAAACCCAATCCACCACGCAGAACACAACGTATGAGCAACACCGCGAAGACGAGGTGATACACCGTAGCTGCGACGCAGCTGCGCCGTCCTGCAACCCACCCACTTGACACCACGGGGTAGACTGTGGACCACCGTGGCGCTATGCACGATGATCTGGAAAGTTGTAGACCAATTGGCCAACTCACGCATGACTACAGTGCTGCAGCATAACACGTATGATCCAGTCCCTTTGAACCGACCATCCACTGATGCGCGGCTCAGAACACGGACGGCCGGCACGCCCCAATCCAAGCAAAACGTGGAGGGCGGAATGCAAAGGTCACCAACGATGCACGGCTCAGAATACGGACGGCCGGCACGTCCCCATCCCACGAACCAAGAGGTCGCCTGCGCTGACAGCGAAAGATCGACATGCAAACTGAAATCCTGCAGCCACTGTTCTTTGCCACCGCTGGCCCATGACAGCAATGAGACTGATCACACGCCGACGGGCCGCGTCTTGCTCCCACCTGCCTGCCTGCTGCCACCAAACGTTCTTCTCGCACGTACTGATCCGAGCATTGTAGCTGATGCCGTCGGCTTCACACCTACTCATCTGCCTCTGCAGCGAGAAACCGCTGCCTCTGATTGCCCTTCTTGCACGTGTTGGCGAAATCGTTGTAGCTGATGACAGTCATCACACACGTCGGCTCCGACATGCCGTTCATCCGCGTCTGAGCACCCCAACTCTGCACACCATACTCACATGCGCAGAGTAAAGTATTGTAGGAGAGGATGACAGAATCCGATGCTCAAAGAAAGCGTACCAACAACAGGAGGCAAAAACAACATCAACAACGTAAAAGTCATTCGGACAAACCAAGCGTATCACTTCACCTCGATCTATCCAACCCGGTCGACTGCGCACAATGCCCAGGTGACGAGCTGCTACGCAGGCGCCACGCTGAGGCATCGAGGTGCGGCCCATGCCCCGGCGATGAGCCAAAAGGGGGCCCACGGAAGGGACTGAGCCGCGCGTGCTCGAGTCAAAACGGCCGCGGAGGAGGGAGGAGGGAGGAGGGAGGAGGGAGAAGGGAGGAGGGAGGAGGGAGGGGGGAGGAAGGAGGATAACGACGACGACCATGATGCCGCCGAAGACG